AACTAATATGTAGAACCTAAGGATTCGGTTTTTGGTCAACTGAACGCGGGCGGAGCCGCGGGCAATGCTAGTTCTTAAATATTAATAATACACTTTGTTATTTAAATTTATATATATATATACGAGTATATATATATATATATATATATATATATATATATATATATATATATACTCGTATGTAATAGTAACTTTGTTGCGAATTATTATAAACTTTCAATGTTAGTGCATGATTGACGACAATAACAGGCAAAATAAAAAAGAAACAAATCAACAGCTTAGTTAGACAATTGATAATATGGTTACTCTATGTGCGTATTAATAATAATTAATTTAACAAGCGTCCTAACCATAGTAAGGACTTTAAGCAGCATATAATTTGCTATTTATTGGGTTCGAATTCCTAGCTATCAAAATTCTCCCCCAGCATTAAGACCACCTCAACGAAAGTAGTACTTAGGTACATAACATATTTATTATAGAACGTTTTGAATTGGCGAAAAGTACAATTTTTTTGTTAATGTTGGGAAATGCATTCAAACCTTCCCCGTCTTAATGGGGCGTTGCAGGATCGCTTGCGCACTCTACCACGACGACGCCCCGACAGGTTTGTCGAGGTAGACCACAACAACCAAAGAGTTGTTCTTACGGTCCACTCTGCTATCAGAGAAGTATCAAGAGCAACCCGCGTGATACACCGCCGACCAAAGTGGACCACCTCCCGGTGTGTCTCTTGGCTTCACGCCCGGCTGGATTGTCGGACGCTAAAGAGGCTCCCCGACATCCCCATTAGGTACTTACATAATATATAGACACAATAGGGTATGTACTATGTATGCTTTTTTTATTTGAATTCATTGTATTTAATACTTTCGAACATTTGACATCTGTACTAATATTATAAAGAGGTAAAGTTTGTGCGTTTCTGAGTTTGTGACGTTGTATGGGGTAATCTCTGGATCTACCAAACCGATTTAGAGGAAATTTGGTAAGAAGATAGTTTGAGATCCTGGGAAGGACATAGGATACTTTTCATCATCCCTTAAGGGGGTGAAGATGGGGATGAAAGTTTGTATGGGGAATCAAGCTAGGGACGAACCCGAGCGAAGCGGTGAGTCGCTAGTTTTAAATAAAACTATCTTTTCGGATTTTATCGCAGAATTTTTTTTTTTAAATGAATTCATTGTATGCATTGTCATCGCCAAAAATATAAATAAGCTTGGTTTTTTTGAAAACAAACATTTATTTTGCACTTTTTATTAATAAAATGAAATAAAAGAATAGTTAAATAAAATACTAGCAGTAGGTACGGATTTAGTGTCCGGTCGATAAATATTGGAAAAAAATAGTGACATGTACACCTTATTGTACATGTTCACAGCTTTTTGCTCGGCTATAAAAATAATAAAATATAAGTGCATGTTTAAATTAAAGTAGGTACTTATATTACTTTCTATCAGGATACCATTTCCTTGAAAAGATATTTTGTGTGTCATTTTTTATCAGACCGATAGTAATAGCATCCGCTCCCGTTGTCTGAGCCTGAGGTCAAATAATATTAGGTATATTTTAATGTTGAAAAAATTGTAATATTTTAATATTTATTAAGGCTTTAATGCACTTTACGTTCCAAAACAATAGCTATTGATTTTAAATCCAGATAGATTTCCTTTTTGATGAAAGACAATTAAGTGGGCTTCTCGCGTCGATCTGCTGTCTACGCAAAAATAAAGATAAGGCAAAGATCACAGGATTTACGGTGTTTTTATGTATATTTTACTTTTTTACAATCTTGTTATTATATATTTGACTTCTTAAATATATGCTATATTACTCTATTCCTTCTAGGAATTCCAGTGAAAATTTCCATTCAAACAACCAAATAATGAATGTCTACAGCTAGATACGAATACCTACCTAATATCTAGGTCATAGACTTTTTTTGGAAAACGAACCAGCGACCGTAGAGCTAGTCAGTCACTTTGCCACTGAATCACAATATACTCGTAAGTTCCTACTAAAACTTTACGTGCACATTAATTTTATAAAACCTCAGCTATTTTATTTCCTATTATTGCTTCATATAATATGTATATTTATATTAAAACCAGAAATCATGTTCAAAGACAACACGTACACAAAAGTAAGTCTACTACATAATTGCTAACGATATCACGTAAAACCTATAAAGCAAAATATTTATATCAATATAATGAGCGGCAAACAATTTGAGTAATAAAAACTATTAAAAATATTGTAACCCGTAATACTTTTTTAGGCTTACGCGCATATTTGACATTTAAAAAAAACTATCTTTTCGGTTTTTTCGGAAACGTTGGGGATCAAAAATCAAAATAACCCGAGAAAAAATCCCAAAAGATAGTTTTATTTCTAATGTAATCCGATTTCAAGACACTAAACATGGGCTTTTTTTGCAATTAGTACCTAGTAGTAGCTACCTAATCAGATATTTGTAGAACCCGCCGACGCAAGTAACAAATAGGGGCATTTGAAAACACACACACTTGCCCGACGGTTCTTATTTCATTTAGAATCTTCAATTCAGATAAATTATTTAATGGTATTTTAGGATCATAAAAATATTGTAGCATCTGCGGATATCACTTGAAAAACGGAATAAAAGGCAACGTAAATGGTCTAGTAGTCTATGGGACAGAGTAGGACCGCTGTAGTTGGTCGCTGGTCGTTTAGCTGGGTCTTCCTCAGAGCAACTGAGAGTTTCACCCGGCTTGACTGACTGCCCGCACAGCATATGGTTATTCCCTGTCCGTCTCCAAGAGTCATAGGGACTCGCCTAGGAATGCGCCCGTATTAGTGAGCAGCAATTGACACTACAGTTAGAGGGCTGTGCCCTGAAACCGTTTACCCACTCCCCTTTCGGGAGATGTGAGATGACCTACTTCTTTCTCTAGTTGCCCTTAGGCTTCCTGTGAGGCTCTGAGGTATCAAGAGGAAAAAATCAATTTTCTTTTTCCATTTATTTTCAATATATACTATTATATGTTTTACGACCTGGATTATTAGTATTTTCACTATCATAAACTATAATATCTGTATACTGTACTTACATTGTATTATTGTACATAAATTGGCTGCTATCTGTAACTTTAACGGGGACTTAATTCGATGTATTTTCATCTACCAAGTAATCAAAATACCTCTTTAAAGACAAATTCGAATCATAAATTCCATATTTTGTTCTATCATCATCTTTATCTTGACGATAAGACTGATTGACATTAACCAATATACGCCGTTATCTCACAATAGAAACCCAAGATGAAAATAACGCGATGTATGAAATGAACCAACTTCATATATCATGTGTATGCAATTTATCTTACAACCATTAAAATAAATCTGTCGAGATACGAAAGGAATTTGATTAACATAATCCGTAGCTACATAGGTTTTCTCTTGTTATTTATATATGTACAGACAAATTTGTTAAGAAAAGTTTTATATTTACTGTAAGGTTATGTTTTTTGGGATACAAATCTTGCTCTACATTATAGGGTAGCATTGGAAATATTGTATCATATTTAAAATTTATAAAAGTGTTCTCTAACTACTACCTATTGCCTAATTAATAAAATTACTTTTTAACAAAAAAGATACACAGACTTCAAACAATTTCAGATGAAATTGTCAAAAACAATTCTCTTGATGTTACTTAAAAAATAAAATCCATCCATCTCTATGTATACCAAAATGCATCAAAATCACTTTAGCGGTTTAGGCGTAAAAACGTAACATAGTGAGCGAGATAGAGTTACTATTGCATTTATATATTAGTGTGTATTTCTGACCGACTGACTTACTGACGACAAACACGCAGTGATCATATTACAAGTGATTATTTGTTTTTTCATTAGATAAATATATTTATACTAGCGACTAAACCTCGCTTCGCTCGGGTTCGTCCCTATAGTTACGTTTTAATGTTTAGTATAGATTTCTCAGAAATGAGATATTTTCTCACAGTAAAAGTATACTATATGTTGACCCGGATAACCAGCTATCATCATACCACATTTCATCAAGATCCCTCCAGTGGTTTTTCCGTGATGCGGTAACAGACAAACAGAGACAAAAATTCTAAAAACTATAGATTCGGCCTCTGTATCGGTAATAATGTCTATTTCAATAAGATTTTGCAAAAATTATTTAATGTACAGATTCGGCTTGGTTACAATTTTATTATATGTATATTATATATCTAGATTATTATGAACCCAGTCATTCTAATCATATTTCATAATTAAAGAAAATATTTCAAGTAATTTAATATGTGTACTATTAGAAGTCAATGAACATTTGCATGTTTATTACTTTATTGACTAGATAGTAATTTCAATTCATGTAACATTTAATATTAAACTATTATTATATTACTTTTTTAAAGATAGTCAAATGGCTACTATACCTAAAACATGCCCACTCCGAAATAAACAATGTCGAAAAAGTAGTACTTATCTTACATATCCGTATTAATATTATAAATGTGAAAGCTTAGATGGATCTTTGGATGTTTGTTCCTCAATTATGCCTGAATACGGCTGAATGGATCTGGATGAAATTTGGCACAGAGATAGATTATAGTCTGGAATAGCACATAAGCAACTTTTTGTCCCGTGTGATAAATTTCTAATAATCGCTGCTAGAGCCGCTGTTTTACTAAGAAAAAATTATATGTTTTTATTTTTGACAAGATTTTTTCGATTGAAACATATTCGAATACTTATTACTCGCGACTACCGCTCATTTTTACGTTAATTATATATTTACTGCAATTTATTTTTGTTCGGCCGTGACTCGACCTCTAAGCTTATATCATTCAGCTGAAGACACAATTATTGCCGTGGGAACAAGGTCATTCATCGGTTGTTCTTGTGTCACGCATGCGTCTAAATTTGATTCAACTAAAATCTGGATTTTAAAGTCTCCCTAAATGTAAAGGGGTCACTTCACGGTACTTATCCCAAGTTCTTACACTTGCAGATTCTAGGGTGATTTGCCAAAAATAAAGCTGCAGTGCAGTACCGTGCATGCAGTGAGATACTGCGGAACGGTGGCTTTCCATTCATTGTCATGAGGTCGATACGACTATAGTCCAGTGCCGGCGCGTCTGCCTCCGTGCGCGGATGTACTGTTCCTTTAGTCAGCGCCGCCGTCTCCTCGCAAACGTTTCGCACAGAGCTTTTATTTATAAACAAATACAATTTATTTATTAATGTAGCTTTTATTTTATTTGAATTAAACATAATTTCCCGATATTTTCAAACGTGAATTCTTTAGTGGAAAGTGATCTGTTTTGGTTAATGTTTGTATTGAAAGGTGAAAGCGCACGTGCCGATTCGAGATCAGGATTTTTAAGTAAATAAAGGTGATTGGTAATTAATGTTGTTATAACGTTAACAGTTTTATTTAAATAGTTACTTTACTGAAAGAATTAAATGAAATGTATGAATATTACACAACTAGTATTATGAGAATGATTACTGTCAATTGAATTGCGACCTCTGTCATATGAGAGCAAAATCTACATACCTATCATATCATTTGGTAGGTATGATGTTCCGCAACTTTAAATTGCTATATTGATTTCCCATATCATTTTTATTGGTGAAAGGGCGACGTAAATATAAAAAAAAAACTTAAGCGAAATAAAATTAAGATGCTCCTGTAATTTGTTAAAGTTACTATAATAATATGAAGTGGAAATAGAAAAACCAATACCTTCCTTACATTTTTTTTTCAAATAAATGAGAAATTAGAAAGAATATGTTATTGTTTTTGCAATGCATCGGTGGACGCTTGTATAATTTTACTGTCAGTGGACTTTCTATTTCGTTGATATCTTCGTATGACACGACCATAAATGGTATTATCAAACGTATCTTTGATGTTCGCATGTGCTTTATTGCATGCATAAAATTTAAATTGATTGCTCGTAATTTACAAGCAATGATACATTAGACTTTAATTTTGAATAATGAATTTTAATTTTGAATAGTGGATTCTATGAAACATTTCTATTGTCGGTGATATTAATTTTTATTAGGCTTTATGCTGCAAAATTTTTTTACTTTTCCTGTCGCTGGGTTAAAATTAAATACAAAGGTCAAAATGAGTTGTCCTGCATCATGGACGCATATTGTTCATAAAATGTACAATGTCGCAGGTTCGATTCCTCTAGGCGATAATGTGTCTGACCATCCTATATTATGGTTATTAACCTTTTGCACTGCACCTAAGGTGATAGAGTTCCGCAGTGGATTTTTGTGAGTAAGAGTCTCATAGATCTTTTTCCATTGATGGCCGACGGGGATGGGCTCAGACCCATGATATCCAAAAAAGACTTACGCCGGCAGCAGGCGAATTAGTATAAATCTTTCCATTTATTATCTGGGCTTCGATACCATCGGAAAGCAAAAACGAAGTAATGAATAGCTTTTTCTCTTAGTACTTCGCAATAGGAATTACCTGAAGATATCATACCTATAATAAAAAATATATTATACGGTTCATATTAAAATAAAGTAATCTTTTTACATAGCTTCTCATATTCAATTTTTCGCGATTAGTTTTTGTGATTTTTAGAATTACAAGCTCTATTTTGAATTGCAAAATGGCGTGACTAAAGCTTTTATCGTGAACAATCTTAATACTTACGGATGCGCTAACAAAATTATTTGCCCGCAAACAGTTCTCAAATCACATTTGATTGCCCTATCAATTTGATACGATTCCACAGTAGGTAGGTCTTCTAAGCACGTGACGGGACGTAGGTGTTTTTCTACTCAGTGGCGGCCTTAGGGGGTGGCAAGCAGGGCAACCGCCCAGGGCCTCGCGCTTGTAGGGGCCTCGCGCCTTCGCATAACAACCCAAGTGTTGATACACTTGGGTTTCAGTTGATTCTGATGAATCTCCTGCCTTAGGCCGGACATAACAAAACCCACATCCCGCCAGTACAAGCATGTAGCATTTAAGTCAATAAGCTATTAATATTAAATTTTACGTTATTATAGTAATTATAGTAAAGAATGAATTAGTAAAAAGACTGCGTACAACTGCTTGTTTTTTTTTAATTAATTTTATGTGCAAAAAATATTTTCTAAATAAGTTCGCGCGATTATGATGCCAGTAGAAAAATTGAGTTTGGTAGTTCAAAAAGGTATCAAGCCATCAAAAGAAAGCAGGTAGAAAAAATCTGTATGAGTCTATATATCTATACTTATTATAAAAATAAGTCCCCCGGCCGCGTCTTTCTGTCCTCCTGTCTGTCTGTACGCGATAAACTCGAAAACTACTGAACGGATTTTTATACGGTTTTCAACAATAGAAAGAGTAATTCTTGAGGAAGGTTTAGGTATATAATTTATTATGCTTTTATGTAAATTAGCTGAAATACGGCGACAAATGTTGAAGAGGTCGCAAAAAATCTCGCCAAATGGGAACTTTCCACGCGAACGCCGCGTAAACTAGCAAAGATACAGTTAAGTAATGTACTAGAGAATTCAAAATCTATAAAAATGCTACAAAAAAGTCCGCGATAGCATATCTCTATCTCTTACGGTTGACTTACAATAACCACTTTTATGTTAACATTTTTAATTAAAAACATTACGTTATTTTCAAAGTTATTTTCTTTAGTTCGGTATTAATCCTTATCCAAATGAATATTTTAGTTAGCTTAGTCATTTAATGCAGATTAAAATTGCTCTTTACACTAAATCAATCAGATGAATAGTTTTTGAGATATCGTTGTTAGAAGTAATTAGTAGCGAAACATTTTTAATGCTTGGCGAGCATTGAGATGCCTACGGCGAGTCCATCCCCTCTGCCCCGCATCGCTCGACCGCCTGCTCAAGCTATATAAACCGGGCGATGTAGCGCGCGATCCTAGGATACTTTTTACCGCGGGAAAATATCTTATTTCTGAGGAAAAATACAAAAACTGCAATGTAAGAGTATACTAATATGTAACACCTAAGAATTTAGTTTTTGGTCATCTGAACGCGGGCGGAGCCGCGGGCAATGCTAGTAAATATATAAAAGGTGATGGTCAAGAAGCTTCTAAGTCCTTAAGACCTTTCAGTGACTAAAAGTGACATGTTTTTGCATTCTAAGCCTAAGGCAGCTGAAATATTTTTATCGACATCATCTGGGATGCCGTAACTACCTAGCGATGATAATAGTAAGTGAACAACATTATTGTTACTCCACCGCCGCCGCCGTCGTCAACACTATCCAGCCAGAAATACGTATCTACGAGTAAATCTACGTCTACATCCATGAGTGGCGGAATTGAATATCTTATACTCAATACGTAAAATGACCCAGGTTTATGACCATCAATAATTACTGATGCAAACCGAACTGAGATTTCATTGAAAGGTCCAATCCGCGCTAAGACAGATTTTTTCCCCGTAAATGATAGTGGACGGCGATTCAGTGAATAGGTATCATTACAATTAAAATATTAGCTTATGGTGAAAAATTGGACAAGCACTGGATGATTTATTTACAAACAAAACTTGCCATTTACTTCTTCTGTCGATTGTTCTGAATAGAATATAAAGAATTGGGTCCAGTGCAGTACTTTGCAATTGGAAACACTTGGGTAAATATTTAAAGTTTCACGACTTCGGCTGCACAAAGATTGTATGTTAAAACGGTTAAATTTAGAGAACGGATTGTGAACGGATTATTAAATTCAGAGAACGGATTAAAAAGCTGTACAACTATTAACTCTTTAGCCCAGAGGCTTTCCTTCATTGGCCGCCCAAAGTGAAGCGCAAGAGCCAAATCCTTGAGAGGGTAGAAGTGCTCATTCTGTAAAATAACGGGGAAACCCACGAGCACTTGTGATGGTGAAACCGGTGAACACTTCTCGATAACCGTAGCCAACCACACTGATGTTGTGCCCGGGGCACTATGCCATTAGTGGGAGGCGAGTCACCGTCTGCCAAATATTGAATCTGAGACTGTTGAGAAGGCGGACATTCGGTAGTCTCATCCAATATCCCAGTTTTTAGCCCGTCCAAATTCCATTCCATAGACTCATTTAGTTTTCCATATTTTCCATAGTCCCTACGCATTGTCCGGAACCATATTTACGCAATTCCTTATGGGTTACTCAGAGATGGATGCCGGTTGATGCGTCATATTAAACATTTAAATCTCTTAAGTGGTCTCTACGTGATGGACCGGTGTTGCCCACACAAGCCTTCCAAACAACCGAGCTCCTTCGAGCTCGTGAATTCTAAAGAGCAGTGCCGCATTCAACCTTAGTGCCGCCCCTGGACACTATAAAAAATGCCGCCCTGTTATCGCAGCTTTGCATAAAATGAATAGTTTCGATATTTTTTTTTTAAATGCAAAAATAATAGTTTATAAGTGATATTATTTGTTCGAAAAATATATCTACTACTTAGTCTTTTTTAATTATTCATTTTTTGGGAACTAAAAAAAGCATTTTCGATAACGTGAAGACATTTTTTTCCCACCCTCCAAATTTTGCTGCCCCTAAAAATTTGCCGCCCTGAGCACTAGCCCTGAATGCTCCTAGTGTGAATCTAGCGCTGCTAAAAAGATACTAATAATGTCCACTATCTCTGAAAAATTCTTCAAAATGAGCTAATAGAATTAATGGCAAGTTTTTGCGTACAAAACCTAAAAATGTTGACAAAATAATTTTGTCTTTTTTGTGGTTGCTAACTTTTATAAATTTCTAATATACAATTTTAAAACTCTAAATTTATTTATTTATAAATTTTACATTTCTCGCCAAGCACCATCATTAAAAATATATTCAATTCACATAAATTTCATAAAAGACAAGGGCCTCGCAAAGATCTCCTGCCCGGGGCCTCGCAATGGCTAAGGCCGCCCCTGTTTCTACTTGTCTTTAATTCATATTAACTAATAGGCTTAACACTATTGAATTGGACTTTCGATATGACACACTTCATAGAGGTTCTTTTTTTTGTAATATTATATTCTTCAAATAATTTTGTCAGTATAGAGGTACTATTTATTATACAGTATGATTTTTTGTTTGTTTGATTTAATGTCCACAAAATTTATTTTAGTTTTCTCTCACCATTAAAAAGCTACAGTGTTCAAAAGTAACATAATCTATATTTTATTTCAGTAATAATAAGTTTTCAACCTCATATTACCTAGAAATCGATAACTAGTTAAATATATTTTATTCTTATTAAATCACATAACCCGTACATATGCAGAACTGTTCAAT